GCAACTCAAAACCCACGAAGAAAACTACCCCACGCACGACCTAGAGCTGGCCGTCATCGTATTCGCTCTAAAAATTTGGAGGCATTACCTATATGGAGTACAATGCAAGATCTACACGGACCATAAAAGCCTGAAATACATCTTCACTCAAAAGGATCTGAACATGCGGCAACGAAGATGGTTGGAACTCATAAAAGATTATGACTTGGATATTCAGTACCACGAGGGAAAGGCTAACGTTGTGGCAGACACACTAAGCCGAAAGACTAACCACTCCCTCAACACCACATGGGTCCTGTCAGACGAATTATGCAAGGATTTCCAAAGGTTGAATTTGGAAATAGTGGAGCATGGACAAACAAATTCGGAAATCCACATATTCAATCTCAGGATCATACCCACGCTACTCGAAGAAATCAAAGTCGGGCAGCAACAAGACCCTGAGTTAGATAAAATACGACTCGACCTGGCTCAGGGAAAGGACGGGCCATTGAAACTATTTGATGATGGCAGCCTCCGCTATCAAGGGAGATGGTGCATACCCACAATACACCCCCACCTAAAACAACAAATCTTGGAGGAGCTGCACAGCTAACCATACTCCGTACACCCCGCAGGCGATAAACTATACCAAGACGTGAAGAAGTTGTTTTGGTAGCCCAACATGAAAGAGGAAGTCGCAGACTTCGTGAGCAAATGTCTGAACTGCCAAAGAGTAAAAGCCGAACGGTGTAGGCCCAAGGGACTCGTGCAGCCCCTCGAAATACCCCAAGGGAAGTGGGACTCCATATCCATGGACTTCGTAGGTTTACCCACAACACCAACAGGGAAGGATAAAATCTGGGTGATAGTGGACCAATTAACCAAGACAGCACGGTTCATTGCCATGAAAGAAACCAAGACAATGACACAACTAGCCAGGGCCTACCTAAACCGGGTAGTGAAATACCACGGAATCCCCCGAAACATTGTTTCCGATAGGGACCCCAGGTTCCTCTCACAATTCTGGAAATCTCTATAGACGGCCATGGGGACAAGACTGAGCTTGAGCACCGCCTTCCACCCCACTACCGATGGCCAAACCGAGAGGATCATTCAAACTCTTGAATACATGCTAAGAGCCTGCATGATAGACTTCCAGGGGACATGGGAAGAACACCTAGACCTTATCGAATTCTCTTACAACAATAGCTATCACACAAACATCCGCATGGCTCCCTACGAAGCACTATATGGTCAAAAATGTAGGACACCAATATGTTGGGAAGACATGGTCAACCCAGTAACCCTGGGACCACAATACCTACAGGACACCATAACTAAAGTCAAACGCATACAAGAAAGAATGAAGGCCGCCCAGGACCGCTAGAAATCCTACCCCGACCTGGGGAGGAAGCAGGCCGAATTTTCCACAGGAGAGAAGGTTTGGCTAAAGATCTCACCCACTCGAGGGGTGATGAGGTTCAAAAAGAAGGGGAAACTCAGTCCCCGGTTCATTGGTCCCTATGAAATCTTAGAAAAAGTCGGGAACCTGGCCTACCGCCTCGCCCTACCCGCCGAGCTGGAACGGGTGCACAACGTGTTCCACATATCACAGCTAAAGAAATACGTGCACGATGCAAGTCACGTGTTACAACCCGAGGCCGTAAGCCTGGACGACACACTAACTTACAAAGAGAAACCCGTAAGGGTCCTGGACACTAAGACAAGGGCAACTCGCCAACGAACCATAGAAATGGTAAAGATCCTCTGGTCCAATCACGGGACCGAAGAGGCAACATGGGAACTTAAAGGCGCCGTGAGGGAATGCTACCACGAACTTTTCACACAAGGTAACCGAGGCAAAACCGTAGGATAAGGGAGGTGGTCACCTCAGCAAATCTAAGTTTCGGGGACGAAGTTTTCCGTTAAGGGGGCATGACAGTAACACCCTGTGTTACGGCCTCTAACCCAGACTAATTATTTAATTACTTACCCTTAAAAGAGAATTAAATTCCCTTAATTAATTAGGAAGGGTCCACCATAGACCATGGACCCATATCCCTAAACCAAACCCTTAGTCCTATAAGGAATAGAATTAGTAAATCCCTACCATTTAGACCCTAATTAGGACTCTTAGATATATATAACGACATAGGAGGCACCTAGAATTCACACCACAATAGATTCCACGACACAAGAATTCCCAAGAATTCCCTTATCACCAAATGTAGGAGAAATCAAGAAGATGAGATCTTAGAGAAAGAACCTTAGTAGCCAAGGATTCTAATTAAGGCTAAGAGGTAACCCATGTCTCAACAAAACCTATTTTCTTTGCTATAATCTTCCTCATTGACTCCTTTGATATGCAATTCTATGCTTGTGTCTTGATAAGGCTTTTATGATGATTATGATATTATCTTGATGTTTATGAGATGATCGTATGTGTTAATCTTGATAATCTTGATGATTATGAGAGGATCTTGATAATTGTGTGTTGATCTTGATAATCTTGGTGTTCTTGATTTTAAGATAAAGTTATGATCTTGTGCTTTAAATATGATTAGAGCCCTAGGTTAAATCGTGGATTTCATATTGTGATATTCTTGGTATATTTGGGTGGGATTTTTCATGTTCGGGTATTGAGTCTTGGTTACGTTTAGAAGTCATGATAGGATGTATTTAATTTGATTCTTGGTTCTAATCCATTACTTGATTACGTGGTGTTGTCGTTTGTGTTTAAATGTGTGTGGACATGGTTTCGGGTTCCACGAAATATCCCGGGACCAAATTACTACAAAAGAGTCAGTGGGGGGTAGGTGGGGGTAGGGGAACCCGCCACCTACCCGCTGCCCCAAATAGGGCCGCCGACAGCGGGCAGTCGGCGGGCAGGCGACTGCCCGCCGGGCACCCACTGCCCATTGTAGCGCCGGCGGCGGCCAGCCGGCGGGTTGTCCTCTACCCGCCGGTTTCCCAGTGTGGACTTGGTGGTTTTCCCCGTTAGATGTTTCCCCGTGTCCGATGGTGTCCCATTGGACCCCGTTTATCGTGCCTAAGTCTAGTTTGATGTTACGGGTACTGTTCGTAGGATAAAAGAGTCTTAGGTATTGCATGCTCGTTGAATTGGTATCCCGTTGGCCTAGGTGAAAGATGTATGAACCCCTTAGGCGTATTCCTAGTAATGTGGTTTACCACGCATAAGTTTTATTTATGTGTTTCCCCCTCCCTATGTGCTAATGTGGGTTGCATGTTCTTGCTATGTGTTATGTGTGCGTGATACCCCAATTGGTTGCGATCAATTGGCTATACGGGCAGTTGGATGGGTTGAGAACCATCGGCTGTTAACCAGGCCGGTTGCGATTGTTCAGGTATATAAATATATATAGGGCTGCGGTCCAATGTTTGGTTGCGATCAAACTTTATAAATGAGTTGCGGTTCATAATCTGGTTGCGATCAGAAATACACACTATTCGGGCTGCGGTCCACCGTTTGGTTGGGATCAAACGTTATAAATGAGCTGCGGTTCATCGATTGGTTGCGATCAACCCCTTCGTGCTGCGGTACGATGCAGGGTGCTTCGGGGCCGTGTTAGCGCTATATGCGCTGACCCTCGTGTATGGGCATGCGATTGGTCCTGCGGCACCACCAAAGTGTGCTTATGTGTTGAGATAATGATTGAACACTGATGTGCTTGATGTGGAATAATCTTGTGACCTTAGGGTATATGCTAGTGTCTTATATGCGTGATTATAACTGATGAATGTGCCTACCCTTACTTGTCGAGTCTATTCTCAGTTTTTAATTAGAATCTCCTGAGTATATATCTTCCGGCTTCAAAATGGTTTTGATATACCTATATATATATATATATATATATATATATATATATATATATATATATATACATATATACATATATACATATATATATATATATACATATATACATATATATATATATATATATATATATATATATATATATACACATATATATATATATATATGTATATACACATATATATATATATATATATGTGTATATATATATATATATATATATATATATATATATATATATATATATATATATATATATATATATATATATATATATATATATGTATATATGTATATATATATGTATATATATATATATATATATATGTATATATATACATATATACATATATATATATATATATATATATATATATATATATATATATATATATACCTATATTGTATTTTAACGCGTTGGAGTGGGTTACCAGCATTATTCGCTGAACAGAGATATTTGGCTTTCAGGTACAAATGAGTAGCTCCGGAGCGCGCTAGAGGACCAGAGGCTTAGATAGTTAGTTTCCTTATCGGCCTGCGTGCCATGATGATGTAATGACACTGTTTTGAGGATATTTAGATAGTGTAGACTGTGCATCTAAGTTCTCCAGCTCAGGCGTCGCATAACACCCTAAACACTTATGTTTAGTAATGCTCTGTTTCAGGATTAATGATAGTATTGCCTTTATTTCAAAAGTATTCAAGTTTTAAAATTTTAGGGGTGTTACAATCACTCTGACGACCCCAGTGACCTAGATGAAGACGGTGATGCCGTTATTTAGATGGAGGAGGTTCCCGACCAACTTGATGGGGGCGGGAGTGGCTCTAGTGTTTGATTTTGCTTACTCTCTCGTTTCCTTTTGTGCTTTTTGGATTCCTTTCACGCGTTCTGTTTTAATGATCAGTCTTATTTGGAATTGTTAGGGCGCTGGAGGGAGAGAGTTCCAACGCGTCCTCAAAATGCTGCTGAAAAGTCATAAGCCGAATCTTGTTGGGCTAGTAGAGCCCAAGGTCTTGGGTACCCGGGCTAATGCGATCTGTTCAAAGCTCGGATTCGAAGATTGGGTCTGAGTAGAGGCAGTGAGCTTTAGCGGGGGTATTTGGGTGCTTTGGAACAAGCCGATTGAGGTTGCGGTGGAGTTTACTCACCCCTAGTTCATTTTGCTACAGGTGAAGGAGAATGGAGGCAGCCCATGGTTTTTTTGCAATTGTGTACGCCAGCCCCGACCAGCGTCTGAGACGGCGCCTCTGGGACGACTTACAAGAAACTAAGCGTGGTATATTAGGGCCGTGGATGGTTGCAGGTGATTTCAATGCTGTTACAAGTCAGGCAGAAACTCTCAAATACACAGCCTATAATGCTCAGCGGAGTGTCGAGTTTGTAAACTGGATCCATGCAGAAGGCCTCATCGATATGGGGTTTAGTGGCCCCAAGCTGACTTGGGTGAAAGGTCCAGAGGGCATTTTCACCAAGGGAGCAAGGTTAGATCATGCCATGTGCGATTTGAATTGGAGACAAAGGTTCGGAGAAGCTACGGTGAAGCACCTTCCCCGTATGTCGTCGGATCATGCGCCTATATTAATCCATACGACCACGAGATGTGCTCAATGTTGCAAAAAACGCTAGGCGCCCCCTAGGCGCCTAGCGCCTAGGGTTTTTTTTTTTTAAATTAAAAAAAATTTAAAATTAAAAATTTTCAAAATTTAGTACTAAAATATAAGGTTTCCATATTTATTCCTTAGAAACTATTTACAAAAGTGGTTGTAAAATTGTTCAACAGATTGTTGAAACCATCTAAATACATAAAAAACTAAAATTAAGAGCTAAAGAAGCATTTTTTTGAGAAATTAGTGGACCAAATCGGACAACCGAGTTTGAAAAAATACGCGATTTGAAAAAAAAATTGTCCAAATCGGACAACCGAGTCAAAAGTTATGCCTTCCGAAAGTTCTCCGACATTTTGAAAAAAAAAAAAAATCGCCGAACCATCGAACCGGCCAGCCGCGGAGGAGGCCGCCGAGGCCATTCCTCGCGGCGGCCTCCTACCACCTAGCGCCTAGGCGCCGATTAATCGGCGCCTAGGCGCGATTTTTGCAACCTTGGATGTGCTAGAATGATCAATCATCAGTTTAAGTTTCAGGCAGCCTGGCTGACGCACAATGCGTTTCTGGAGGAGGTGCGACGATCGTGGAGTGGGACGTGTGACCTAACGAGGAACATACAGGAAATCCAAGGGGACTTGAAAACTTGGAACAAGGAAGTGTTCGACTGTATAGAAGCTAAAAAGCGAATCCTACTGGCGCGCATTGAGGGTATTCAACGACGGGTGAACGGAAACTACCATAGTGGCCTATCTGATTTGGAAAAAAAGTTAAGAAGCAAGCTGGAGGAAGTGCTGTATCAGGAGGAGCTGATGTGGTACCAACGATCGAGGGAGGAATTGATAGTGTCCGGGGATAGAAATACAAAATTTTACCACGCGGCAACGATGGTTCGCAAATCTCGTAATAGGATCCTGAGTCTGAAAGACGACACAGGGAACTGGATTACGGACACGGAGGCTTTGTAGACACATATACAAGATTTTTACGTTCACTTATTCATGGAGGATGATGAGATCGTGGCATCGCAGGCCATTAGAGGCCGATTTCCAAGAGTTGACGCATGAACTTGGCAGGTGTTTAACAGGGACATAACGAAGGAAGAAGTGTGCGAGGCGATGTTTGATATGAGCCCTATGAGGTGCGAGGCGATGTTTGATATGAGCCCTATGAAGGCGCTCGGGTCGGATGGTCTTCATGCGGCTTTTTTCCAACACACATGGGATGTGGTCGGAGACAGTATCTACAAAATGGTGAAGAACGCCATCATGTATGGAACCCTACCGACGGGCATTAACGAGACCCTTCTGGCTCTTATCCCGAAGGTGGCTTGCCGGAGTCTATTAAGCAATTTCGGCCGATAAGTCTTTGCAACGTGACGTATAAAGTGATAACCAAGACAACTACAAACAGGCTCAAACTCATTCTACCTAAAATTGTTGGGCCGTTTCAAAGTTCTTTTGTACCAGGGAGGCAGATTACTAATAATATTATTTTCTACCAGAAAGTGATGCATTTTATGCGAACTAAAAGAAGGAAAACATGAACTATGGCTATTAAGATAAATTTACAAAAAGCTTATGACCGACTTGCATGGCCGTTTATTAATGATTCTATTCTTGATGCAGGTTTTAACGAGAGTTGGGCGCGTATTATCATGGAGTGTGTTCAAACAGCGAGCATGTCTATCGTGTGGAATGGAACCCGTCTGGCGCAATTTCGCCTTGGAAGAGGCATCCGTCAAGGGGACGCCATGTCACCAGCGTTATTTGTTATTTGCATGGAGAGATTAAGCCAAAGCATTAGTTCAGAAGTAGATTCGAGAAGATGGACCGACATTCATCTCTCGCAAGTTGGTCCGATGTTATCTCATCTATGCTTTGCAGACGATATGGTGTTCTTTTCAGAAGCTACCATGGAACAAGTGGCGTGTGATTAAGCAGTGTCTTTAACGGCTTTGTGACGCGTCTGGCCAGAAGATCAGCTTGGGCAAGTCTCAAGTTTTCTTCTCAAAAAATACACCTCCTGGCATTGCTGCGGCTATTTCTGCTGAGCTTGAAATCCCTGAGACATCCAACTTGGGCAGATATCTAGGAGTACTGTCGGTGCACGGGTGGGTAACACAAGCTACATTCTCCGGGTTGCTTGAGCGTATCACATCACGACTAGAAAGCTGGAGGAGCAAAACCCTGACTTTTGCTGGAATAGTTACCATGGCGAAATCAGTGTTAGGCGCCATACCCACGTACACTATGCAAACTTCGACTATCCCGAAAGGGGTGTGTCAGAAATTGGAGGCAATCACGAGACGCTTCATCTAGGTAGGGGATGGAAACACGCGACGTATCAGCCTTGTGAACTGGGAGACGATGACGAAGGCCAGGACCGAGGGCGGTTTAGGCCTACGCAAACTACAGGATGTCAACACGGCATTCATGGCCAAACTAGGTTGGTGTAACACCCCCGATTTTCACAACTTTTAAAAATCAATTAAAGCTTAATAAAGAGATAAAGTTTACTCATCAAGATTAAAGTAAAGCGAAAGCTAAAAGATAAGTACGGGAGATGTCATGCCACACCTATACATCTATAGGTGCACAAGCTAAGTCTAAACAACACATCCAAGTCAAGCTTATAAAAATCCATGGCTCACAGGCCAAAAGTCTAACAAAAATAGTCATAGGGAGCTACACTAACTAACGAACTGCTAGCGTGCTCTCCAAAAGCTACTCATAACCTGTAAAGCAACATAAAGATAGGGGATGACACCCGGTCAGCGAACATTGCTGGTAACCCATCAATACGCGTTAAATAGCATAAATAGATAGTATAAGTCAAAACCATTTTCGAAACGGAATACAGTATATATCAGTTCAAAACCATAGAGAGAAGTCAACTTCAAAGACTCTTTCACACTCTCAAAGGAAAAAGGGAAATCAACATCCCACGACAATAACAAGACAAGAATACCAACAGTAAACAATACAACTCGAGATGTATTCTACTGATCACAAAGTAGAATACATCAAGACATGCCCATTAGCAAGGATACACATTCACAAGATTGGCAACTACATGCCACAAGGATCATCATTCCAACCTTATGCCCTGTTCCAACCTTATGGCCGGCCTTATTACAGTTCCAACCTTTACCTCCGAGTGCCACCCTGTACTTCTGAGTCCAACCTTTTGCCTCTGAGGACCGTCGTCCCCCTGCCGACACCGCCAACATTTCCACCGATCTCTCAGTACACGAGGGTACCATTCAATATCATATCACAAAACCGCCAAACTCATGAGCAAAGCTCAAATAACAAACCACCAATCTCAATCATGGTCACACGAGGACCGCATCATTATCAGGAAAACTAAGGCCCCATAAACCTTAGTCATACTTCCATCAAAATGGCACAACAACCACACACATTCACATCATAGGAGTCAATCAATAGATCACAACAAAGATATGAAACCATACTCAACAACGAAGGATCACAATCCAACACCAAACGATAGTCAACACAAGTTGCCAATCTCAAAAGGAAAGAACAAACCGCACACACTAGCATTTCAACATCAAACTAGCATGCTTATCAAACGGGTAAACCAAAAGTAGTTCCATAGAACATACAAGACTCAACATCAATCCAACGAATCACAAAGTTGGACCACAAACACGATTCAAGACACCAAATCATACATGGATCCCTAACATACCGTTCTAGACATACGAAACATCAAGAAGACACTCAAATCGCGCCAATAAAACAACATCGGGAGGTCAAAACATCAATACCGAGTCAAAAGAATCACGGGGAACAAATCCCCGACACAACCCATATGTGTTCCCCGCGGGTGGGGCCACGGGTGGACCTCCGCCCGTGGTTCCGCCTGCGGGTACGAAGCCCACAACCACCTGTTCCCCGCGGGTGGGGCGGCGGGTGGTGCACTACCCGTCGTTCCGCCCGCGGGTACCGTCCTGTACACCAAATAATCCCTTCGGGGATTTTCAACAACAAGTCCAAATTCAAGTCCAAAACACCCAAAATCTCACACAATACAACAATATGACTTGAACCCAAGAAATAGCCAAGCAATGGCATACAAGAACCCTAATAACAAGCTCTAAACATGCATTACCACAAGACAATGCATCAAATCTCACATTTCAACACAAGAATCACAAGTAGAAGCCAAGAAATCATCATATAAGTAAGAAAATAGGTTTTGTAAAGCATGGGTTACCTTTGTAGCCTAGAACTTCCCTTTTCCAACATTAGAAAGCTTCTCCTAAAGCTCTTCTTCAACACCAACTTCACAAACAACCCAAAACACAATAAAGATTCTATTTTTAGAAAAAGACAACTAAAAGGATGCTAAAAACACCAAGAGATCAAGGATCTTACCCTCCCTTATGCTCAAGGATAGGAAAGTATGAATCTTGGAAGACAACTTGTAGGATTTAGGATGCGCAAATTTTGGCTTCGAGAAGAAGCTATCAAATTCCTAGAGAGAAGATAGAGGTTTTGTGTTTAGAGTGTTGATGGATAGAATGAAGGGATGATGCTAGGTTAGCTTGGAGCACAAACTATAGGTAGAAAGACTCCTTTGCCCTTACTAAAGTTGGAAGATAAGGAGACAAGGGAACAACTCACTAGGCATAAGGTACAACTCTTTGACTTGGATTGACTAGTCAAATTCTAGTCCTCTGACTATTGAATTTTCAGGATTTTAGGAATAAATTAGCAATTAGACTAGGATTAATTATCTAATTAATCCTTAACTAGAGTTTGGATTTACGGGGTGTCACAGTTGGCGCCTTCATACGGAGAACGATAGCCTCTCAGCTCGGGTCTTGATGACCAAGTATGGCAAGGAGGAGGGGAGGTGGCCAGTAAATACAACTCGCAGTACCTCGAACGTTTGGAGAGGCATGCATAGCGCATCTAATCTTCTAGAGAGCGGGCTCACTCGGATCATTCGCGGTGGGAGGGAGATGAGGTTTTGGACGGATTGTTAGCTGCAAGGGGAGCGGTTGTTTGACCACATGAAGGAACCAGTGAGCTTACCAGAGCTCTACGCCACTGTCTCAGAATACTGGGAACGAGGAAGGGGTTGGAAGTGGGAGATGTTGCGTGATGTGTTTGATGATGACTGGATGTATAAAATTAAATTCACGCCATGGTGCTGTTGGACGAGGAGGAGACGCAAGATGGCTGGGGTTAGAGGCTAGAGATGGATGGCAAATTCTCTATTCGTTCCGCTTACAACGCTTTGCGTACAAATGGGGTAGTGGCTGTGGATAACGAGTGGAAAAAGCTTTGGAAGCTTAGGGTTCCTAACAAGATAAACCACTTCTTGTGGTTGGTGAAGCATGGGAAGCTGATGACTAATTATGAGCGTACGAAGCGGGGATTTACAACCGACTCACAGTGTGCATCTTGTGCAGGTACGATAGAGACGATGGATCACATGTTTCGAACATGTAGAGAGGTCGCTGGATTATGGGAGTCGTTTCTGCCAAGAGGGGTGATACGACAGCTGCAGCCGATGGGATGGACGGACTGGTTGTCTACCAATTTGAGAGCAGATGCCAGGCTGGGTTTTGGAGAGGGCTGGCCAGAGGTGTTTGGAATCGTGCTGTGGTGGTGTTGGCGATGGCGAAACATGAAGACGTTCGAAGGGCCGAGTATAAGCTTAGAACAGAAAAAGGGTTTGATTGTGAACCAACAATCTGAGGTAAGAGAAGCTTTTTGGAGGAAATGGGTGCCGAAGGCCGATAGCCGGGGTGACGGAGCACCGGCTGCATGGACAAAGCCACCGCCTGGATGGTGGAAGCTCAACATTGATGGTAGTTGTAAAGATGCTGGACAAAGGGTAGGCTGTGGAGGTGTGATGCGAGACCACCTGGGGCGCTGGATACGAGGCTTCACGCATAATATCGGCTCGTGCTCCGGTGAGGAGGCTG